TAACAAGTCAAAGTCTTTATGGCTCAGTGTCACCCGAGTGCTGTCTTAATCTCATCATCAATATTGCTAGCATTAGCTGTAGCCACAGCAATATAAATAAACTGTCTATAGATGGCTTGTTTGCAGCAGCTGCTCATTATGTGCAGCTTCATGTAATGTGAGAGCCCGATCGATTATAGGCCGGAATCAATAACATTGAACATGCCTGCCCACACAGTACACACACACACACACACACACACACACACAATGTATGTGTTGACTTGGGGCAAAATTTGAAAGACTGAAAATAACAAATACTTGAAGGACCAGTGTGTACGATTTAGTGGCATCTAGTAATGCAGTTGCAAATTGCCACCAACTGAACACTGCTCGCGTCTTTATTTGACGACCTGGGAATGAGAACTGGCTGTAAAGTGTGTAGGAGAAACTACGGTGGCCGTGAAGCCCCCGAAAAATGCAAAAAGGCCCCTATCTACAATCAGTGTTTGGTTTGTCGTCCCACTGGGTCTGTAGATAAAACCAGCTCATTCTAAGATAATGAAAACACAACAGTTCTTATAGTCAGGTAGATAAACTAATGAACACATACCTATGAATATCATATTCCATTTCTGCCAATAGATCCTCCTAAGTGTTACACACTGGGCCTTTAACACACCAGTAACTATGTAAATCTGATGCAGCAAGGAAGTTAACAAACAGAGGTGCTGTATAACCTGATACAGCATAAAAAAGTACAGAACCGTATCAAGTGCAGGAAAAAGACAGTCGAGTACAACGTTTGTGCCCAAATTTGGTCACGTGGGTGAACTTTGGACCCTTGAACATGTTAAATTCTCCAACATGCACGCATGTGGCAGTCAGGCTGTGAAGTTTGTACAAAGAGAGAGAGAGAGAGAGACAGAGAGAGAGAGAGAGGGGGGGGAGAGAGAGACAGAGAGAGAGAGGCTTTGTTTATTGTCAATGATACTTGCTCTCTCGTCATGCCCCGTGTAGCAACAGTGAGCAAAAACTCCTGAGCGTGATTTCTCCGTCTTCTCGGCTCAAGTTTCTCTATCAAGCTTCTCAGATTAGTACGATTGCATATGTAGACTTACAAGAACTATAAGTAACCTTATTTATAGAGATATGGTCTGATACAACTCATGATACTCTTTGTGATATTGTAACAGAAAACAAAACTCCCTCTCAACACCAGTTGCTTTGATAGCACTACTGTGTGCAACATTTTGTACGCCAATTTTGCAAATTGAATTACCCTTGTAATATAGTAAATGATTTCAAATCCCGTAACTCCGTAACGAATTGGATATAAAACAGCTTATATCTGATACCATGACTGAAAGGAGGGGAGATAAACGAACTGATAGGATGAGTCACAAAGCGAGTATCAAATACAAAACGAAAGCAAAAACACTGTGAGATTCTGCTGGAGTTTCACATTGTTCCACTGGCCTGGAGGTCAAACTCCACCTTTAACTCGCTGATTGACTTATCTGCTGCTGCAGCTCGTGTCAGTGTGAAAATTAACATACAGTCACAGCTGAGAGACTTCATTAAACTCTCCTGTTTTGTGTGCATGCAAAAGATTTTCACACCAGCGAGTTTAAAGAAAGATTCAGCGCCGCTCAGTATTCCTGCTCTGTAAATGAGTTGTCATTTGGTCAACTGCATGGGCACATAATCATTAAAAGGCAGCAAAACACTGGCTTGTTGTTTGTCTCTTTGCTAAGAATAGAAAGATTTTCACATGGGGGATTTCAGCACTTTCTTTGAGGAGTATTAACTTATGGAAATGAAGGCAAACTGTTATTACTAATACAGATCTAACACCTTAACAAACCGGGTACATAAAAAAAAACGTATCCGACATTTTCGTATTTCCCTAAACTGTGAACTCGTAATCACAAAAACTCTGCATTCACCGACTTTCACTCACTTCGCAAAGCGGCTTGAAAATGTTTCCCTTGAATTATTGGCTGTACGTGTAGCGGACCTGCTGCTCTCTGAATGACTGTTAACAACAGTTGTTACTGGAGTGGAGCAAACTGAGTAAACACAGTTGGCTGGTTACACCTCAGGTGACAGAGCAGCTACAGGCCTGCTGACTGTGCACTCTGTCGATGTGCGTGTGTGTGTGGGAGTGTGACCAGTCATTCATAACACACACACACACACACACACACACACACACACACACACACACACACACACACACGTATCAAAACCACAATAATACATGATAGTTCAAAGTCCAAGTCTGACTAAGCCAGTCATGTATACTGTGTGCAAATTCATTATCATTGTCTATTTATTTCCAAATAGTGATTTTATACTCAACATTAAACAACAATATTGTGCTAGAGTTTATAATAATTTGGATATTAATTGTAACAGCATAATATAATCAAAAAGAAGTAATAACACAGGTATTAAAATACATATATATTTCCCTACAATTTAATATTAAAACTGTACTCTTGATCCAAAAGTAAACAAGACGGTGGCTCAACTGTCTCCAATCATAACACATGGGTGGACCCATATATCACTCCCACATTGAGTGACAGGTACTTGAACAGTGGGACTGACAAGTTAATCTAACTGAATGATGTAAAGTACAACAAGGCTGCATTTGATATTGTTAATAAGTTGAGAAATATTCATCAAACACACAACAAAAAACACCTCAATTACGAATGTAAATACAGCTGAAATGTACACACACACACATGCCGGTGCTACAGTGAGAGCAGGATCGTCACTTACCTCTGCTTTGGTTAAACCAGTCCATAACCAGTTCAGAGCCGGCCGACCATCCCATGCCGGCCGGTTGGACGCACTGGTTTTCACACCATACACACAGTCAACACAGCAATTCACAACACACACACCATAAAAACACACACACTCGTTTTGTATTTCCCCTCTCTTCTCTGTGAGATTACCTCTGTGTGTGTGTGTGTGTGTGTGTCATCTGCGCCTAATGACAGCTGACAAACTACATGCCACAAATCCTCTCTCTCTCTCTCTCTCTCTCTCTCTCCCTCTCTATGTCCCCTCCCCCCATCACGTAGACACACACAGACACACACACACCCCTCCCTGTCTCCTCCCACCACACATACACACACATGCACACTCCTCCCTCCTATTAGCCAATGTGCAGAAAAAAAACCTCCCTTCCTCCCTCCCTCTCCTCCTCCTCCTCCTCCCTCTCTCTCTCAGCCTTTCTACAAACTGAATGATTTACATGACCTGTTGTTCTAAAATTTTGAAATCACATTACATTTCATGTAAAGAGTTATTTCATGACATTGACGATTCACTCTAACTTTTGTCACGTGTATAAAAAATACTGAAAATATAGAAATAAGCTTTAGAAAATGTACATGTTTATTACTGAATGAATACATTTCAAGCACTTAAATTGCTTATTTGGTGTTGGGTGCTGTTAAAGCGATATTGACTAAAGAAATCCCTTGTGATTGTTTAAAAGGATGGTGGCTGATTCTACAGTATAATAATAATATATTGCTGAAGGTAGGTGGACACATCTGCATTAAACTGCTGTCAGAACAACCTCCGCTTTTTCTGGGAAGCTTTCCACAAAATGTTGGATCCTAGCTGCAGGGATTTGCTCCAGTTCTTGTTCCAGTTCATCCCAAAGGTGTTGAGGTCAGTGCTAAAGATGGGTGGGGGGGTTGAGGGGGTGGGGGAACATTTCTTTATGGTCCTGGCTTTGTGCATTGGGGGGGCATTGTCATGCTGAAACAAGAAAGCATGCAGCATTTACTGGAAATGGGGGCCTAACACATAAACAGCTACAGCCCAAAGTCAAGGGGTGTCCACACACTATTGGTGGCTAACACCTCGTCTACACTGGCTGTGTACAGCAAAAGCAGAACATTACCACATCAGCAGCAGCAGTTTCATTTCTCCATGCTGCATTTCGAAGAATTAGAAAAGACAATTGTTTTTAAGAACTTCAGTCCAACTTCCAGAACAAAAGCAAATGGAAGTGTGTCAGAAACAATAAAGCCAACGAGTGACGGGAGAGAGAGAGAGAGAGAGAGAGAGAGAGAGAGACTGTACATGCAGCGCTTGTGTTAAAAGCCTTGTCCCTGTTTTGACAATGAGCCTCACACTGAGAGTGAGACGGCAGAAAACACAAGTGAAAGTGAGAGAGAGAGAGAGAGAGAGAGAGAGAGAGAGAGAGAGAGAGAGAGAGAGAGAGGTAATTTTAAAAATGACAAAGGTTGTAAGTGCTGGTGGAAGCAGCTGTGCTTCACAGGTCACACACACACACACACACACACACACACACACACACTAGCACATATATTCACACAAACTGCTCTCAGTAGAGCACACAAAATTTGTCAAGCCAGCTGACTCATTTAAACGCACTCACTCTTAAACGCACACATACACACTTCTGTTTCTCTCTCACACACACACACACACACACACACACACACACACACACACACACACACACACATACACACATACACTCTTCTTTTTTCCCTCTCCATGTTGTCATGCCAGGGTGTCCCTGTTTGCTTTTTGAGCCTGTAGCAGGGAACCAGTTTTACTGTTCCACTGTATAAACTCGAGCAGGTCTTCTCAACCTTTGATCCCACCGTTTTGGGATCGAAACTCAACCTCTTCTTCTTCTTCTTCTCACACCAATATTCATTTTCAGTACTAAGAGTCACAGTCAGCATATGTTTAAGAGCTGGGTGGAGCTGTGCAGTTGAACATTATAATGTGTAAGTTGCCTTGTGAATCTGCATGTTGCATTTTATATTCTATAGAAATGAACGAGCCATTAACGCTGAGTTGTTTATATCACAAATACATTTTTTTAAAAGACCTGTGAACTTTCCCACCGATTACAGCATTTAAACATTTACAATATCTCTAAAAAATATATATTTCAAACTGGTAAAAAGAACAAAGAACAATCATAATAATTAAATGTGCAATCTCACCTTATTTGCAAAGCATCCTGGGTAAACATCCACAAAGTGTTACCTTGTGACATCATTCAATCCTCTCTGTAAGACACACAAAACAAGAAAAGAAATGACACATATTAGGGATGAGCGCGTGGACCATTATCTGTATCTGTTAAACCTGAAGCGTCAGAGCAAACTCTCTGATCAGGACAAATATTGACACATTTGATTCTGATGACACTCACAAAAGGACATTATGTGTACAGGAGACTCGTTTCAGCTGAGTGCTCGCTGTAAAACGTTAGAGAGTAATACAGAAATGTGGTTTTGCACTTTTAAAAACACTGCAATTCATTAGAGGACTTTCATCAGAAGATCTAAACATATGGATGTCTTTCAAAAGTTCAAACTCTCCGAGCCCTGGTGACGTCGCCGGGGTTATTTTCTCAGAAACAGTCCCACACACTGTTTTCACAGCACTTTCAAAAGCCTAGTAAATTAACTTTGATGTCTAAAGAAGCTGGCTGACTTTTCCTTTAACGCTGAACGGATTTGTTCATTTAATTTACCGTCAATGATGAAATGCTCGAGAGGATGAATAATGTTCAGTTACCATGGTTGTGGTACTCTTGAGTTAAGACATATCAGCACCGCGCCACAGAAGTGGATCCGTCATCGAGGACAACCAGGGGCCACACCCAGGATCAAATGACTGGAGGTGTGTGTTTGATAAATACGCTGTCGAGTTTTTTAAAGTATAAAATAATTTTGCAGAATTTCACCTTAAACACCGTCCGCTGGTTATGCTGGAAGTCTCGCTCTTGCCCACAATAACAAGAAAACCTGCTGCTTTTCCCAGACACTGACCTCGCCTGGGAGGACGATCCAGAGCGTTTTGAGGCCTTTAACACACTGTGAGGCTGACCCGGGCCAGTGTGGTGCTGGTCCAGGTTCACAGAGTTCCCACTGGCTTCGGGTTCACGTTCGCAAACATCCTATTTTATGAAACAATTTGTCTCACTTTACTTGAACAGCTGAATCTCTCTCACAAGTGCTGTTGAATCACACTTTTAAGAAGCATTTGGGTTCAACTTGCAGACAAACTGGGTCTCCACTGAAAAGCCCGTCACCAGATCATGTCTTGTTGTTGTGCCCTCGAGCAAAGACGCTCAAAGAGTCTACCTGCTAATGGGATGCAAGTCAGTCTGTGTCATCCTACCTTGTCTTATGTAATTTAGGAAAAATCACACGCCACATGTTCTCTTCAGTGAATCACATCCTCTCTCCCTCCTCTTCTTCCTTCTTCATGTGATAAAAATGTTTTGTCGGAAAGGTTACTATGACTTTGACCCTACTTATTTGCCATTTCTGGATTGTAATTTGCTTAAACTGAAGCTCGTTGCATTCATTGTAAAGTAGTCAGATCTTTAAGCCTCATCCTGAAATCTGTTAAGTGACGTTTTTAAAAATATCAAGTGTGGCCGTTCCCATTCAGTCCATTGAACTAGAAATGAGGTACCACATTTATTTTTAGGCTTAACCATGTTTTGTGTTGTGGCGCAAGACCCACACCAGAACCTCTCCTTAAGCTAGTCTGATGGGAACAAAACACCAGCCGTGTGTTGATGTGAGTCAAGTTGTCTTGATAAGGCACAGTCCTATTTCCCAGCATCAGTGCACGTCAATGCGTCTTTTAAAGAAGCAATTTGCAATCACATTTGCTCCCCAGGTCAGCACATCCCAGCTACTGTACCTCGACTTCTTCCATGTATGACCGTCGGGTGTGTACAGGAAGGTCACTTTAACAGAAAGAGGCAACCAATGTGACTTATCAAATCCACTAAAGAGACGAAAAGTAGCAGCAGGCGAACACATTTGTGTCGAGCGATAAGGAGATTTTCTTCAAATTAATACATGAAACGAACATGAGTATGTGCTTTCTGCATTCTTCTTATGCAGTGGTTTTATGGCACCTGACTGGGGAATTAGCGCCACCAGAAGTTTCTCAAAAAGCGAACTCATAAACAAATAATCCCATTAACAGTAGTCGGTGGAAACATTAATAAGAATTTTCTTTTGAAGTTTGAAATTCAGTCAAAATGTTCTGTACATTTGGATGGAAACCTACAGTCAGTTTGATAATGACACACTGATGTTTAAAAAGTGTATCATAGTTAATTTTTAAAGGTTGACAATATGATCTTTACCATGAACTGCAGCAGAAGAGCACAGTTGAGCTGTCATCTTTAAAGTAGTTAGCACTGTGTGTGTGTGTGTGTGTGTGTGTGTGTGTGTGTGTGTGTGTGTGTGTGTGTGTGTGTGTGTGGGAGGGGTTACTGTAATCAAGAACACCAAATGAAAAGTAGTAAAAGAAGAAGTGAGTTTTTTTGGTCAGCGGCCAAATCCGAAACATCTGCTGGCTCTTCCCCCTGCTGTGTGTGTTGTTACTAAGTGTGTGTGTGTGTGTGTGTGTGTGTGTGTGTGTGTGTGTGTGTAAGAGAGATTGTGAGTGTGTATATGAGTGTATGGGTGAGACAGCCGCCCTCTCAGTGTCAGTTGGACACAGCAGACTCAAACCTCACAACACTTCAACATGCATCTGCCACCCCTGAGAGATAGCTGCATACCTATGTGTCATGTGTGTGTGTGTGTGTGTGTGTGTGTGTGTGTGTGTGTGTGTGTGCGTGTGTGTGTGTGCGTGTGTGTGTGTGTGTGTGTGTCAGCATGTGTCAGTGTGTATGTGTGTGTGTGTGTGTAGGAGGGATGGACAGCTGATCTCTACCCAGCTGCTTTGTGAATTGCACAAGCACACATGCAAGTACAAATGTTTTTTTCTGCACACACAATGACAGAAAGAATCCGTGGCTGCTCAGTTTGTGCACTTTGGAAGTCGCGGCAAAGGACAGAAGACTTATAAGAATATATATAGAGAATAATCCCGGAAAAGAGAGGTTCTCCCATTTGAGTGTCTATATTGTCAGGACTCAAACATTCTGCAGGCTGCTGGAACTGTTTGCAGACTGATTCGTGGTTGAAAGCTCTGGAAAAAGTGGAGTTAAGATTATTTTGTGTTTCCAGCTCAGAAAAGGCTTCTGCAGATAGACAGTTAAAGCTATAAACAAAGGGGGGGGGGGAATGCAAATAACTTAATTACTGTATCTCAAGGGAGTTTGTTGTGTAATCAAGCCCAACTGAAAATAATTAGCCACCCCCTCCTGCAGTCACAAACAATGTCAAAGTGATTCCTTTTCTGTCTAACCATCTGAGTGGTCATGTCACAGCCCATGTTTGATTGACAGCAGGGTGAGCCATGAAAGGGGGGGGGGAGAGGAAAAATAAACAGCCTGTCTTGTTAGCACTGATATTGATGGCTAAGGTCCACAGCAGCATCTAAACTGAGGGTACTATGGGTTGAAGCAGGTCAATGCTACAGCCGGCTTGCTGATTGGCTATTACAGTATATATAATGGACAGAGATTCCAGGTCTGTAAAGTGAAGTGTTAGAAAACCTGAATTCTATCTAAAACGCCAGCAGGGGGAGCTGCATTGGCTGCGATACAAAATTATCCCACTCTAATGGAGAAATTACAAGCCTTCTCACTTGATTTATTTGCTCCGTAAACAGTTTCCTGATGAGTTTCTGGTCTCAGTCTCTAGTTTCAAGTCTTCTTCCATACAGCATGATGTTCATTTAGTAAATGATGGTCCCATTTAGAGTAAAACAGACCATGCGTGTGCTTTGGGGCGTGGCTACCTTAAGTCATTCTCATTGACTCATCTTATTGCCTTGCGAAAAAACAGTTATGCATTGAATTATTTTATTGGCTATATTCAGAAAATGTCTCATGTTCACAGATTGGGAACCAACAACATTCAAACTGGTTAATGCAGAGATGGAGGGGGGGAATAAAATATACATTTCTACCATCTGCAGAAAGCTTTTTTCTTCAAAGGAAAACACATGGTATGTCATTTATAAACGAAATAAGCATGCTGAGGCAGAACAACATGGAACATGTTATCTTTAAATAATAACAAACAGGTTTTTAAAATAAAATCAAAATATACAAATAAATTCCCAGAGATTGTTTTGAAAAACAAATAAAAAACTAAGTAAGTCAAGGTGTGGTGGTTTTGTTTATAACTATGGGGACGAAAAACTCATTAACACAAATTCACACATACACAGCACTAATGGTTAATGTCTGGGACCTAATTTTGTTCTTAATGATGGAGAGTTTCACTCTGAATTACTTACACATGTGGCATTGTGGTAAACTTTGGTAAGCAATCACAGGCACACACAGGATGTCTGTAAGACACAAAGAGAGGGAAGAGTCAGAGAGCCACAGAAAGTCAATTAGAGACACACAGAGAGACGGCCTACTTCCTGACTGTGATTAATTTGTGTTTCTGAGCAGCTCAATGGTAACAAAACAGAGATCCACAGCCCCACTGAGCTCAGATCTGGGTTACTATACAACCACGCAGCAGACGTTACAGACGATAACTCAAGCTGGAGGTTTCTCTATGTGCATGGGTCATTCGGAAACATTTGCATGTGTGTGTTTCTTTTACAGATTGGAGATACTGCAAATAAAGGTTATTTTCATTTTCGATGGATCAGTTTCTCTTAATCCATTAGTAATAGACTGGTGAAAAACGTTGATCACTGTTTCCCAAAGCTCAAGGTGGCGTCCTCAAATGTTTTGTCCACAAACAGAAGATAATCAGTTGAGTTTACTGTCATAGAGGACTAAAGAAAATATTCATATTTGAGAAGCTGAAATCAGAGAATTTGGACATTTAAAGAAAAAAATGACTCAAAACGGTTAAATCAAATATCTAATTTCAAAATATTTGGCGAGTAATCGAGTAATCGTTGCAGCTTTAGGTAGGGATGCAACAGGAAGCAGTGTCACATCTAGAAAACACAGAAGAAAACCCCGGAGAAATCAGGAAATCTAAATCAATTGCACTCCAGTGACTGTAAACAAACCACTACATCCCTGATACGATCCTAAAAACGAATTTGGACTGATTAACGAAGATGAACGGGACAATGACAAGAATTCATTTCCCTAAACACTGCTGGAAGAGGTACGCTCGAACTCTGAACGAAAAAAGAGATGAGATTTGGAAGGTTTGCGTATCTCCTCCTCTGAGACCCTCTGTTCCAACTTCAGCAGCGGTCGGTCCATCTCAAGTTCAAACCTAAGTCTCAAACTAACTTTAGACTTGACATTTAACATGTCTCTGTCTTTAGACTTGACCCTGACTCCTGAATAATGACAATTAGAGTCATTGGAGAATTAGTCAGGATTCGGCTAAAGGACAACTGTACTTTATCCTCAAATGTCTCACAACGTGCGTCCTCCAGCCAAAGTTGATGCTTTGATTGCACATGTGAAAAAAAGGAGAAGTCGTCTGTAGACTGAAGTTTACAAAGTTTTCTGAGTATTTCCTGATGCAACACTTTTAATAACTTACCATGAAATGACTACAGTTACTCAGTTTCAGGTGATTCTGACTACAGGGTGAAAATGGGATCAGACTACCAGAGTATTGGACTGTCAAAACGAAGAGTTAGCTTTAGTATTTGGCTGCAGTAACCACAACAATATTTATCTAACTGCTCAATCTTATCGCTGTCATCTAAGCAACAACGTCCTGCGGCCAAAAAAAGTGGTAGTGAACACCACAATTAGCTCTGGCCACAGCCTACGTTTGTTCTGCAAAAGCTTGTTACGCTATTAGCTTGTATTATCCGACTGGAGGACTGTGGACTCCCTCTCTCTCTCTCTCTCTCTCTCTCTCACTCTCTCTCTCTCTAACTCAGCTCTGCTGTCACAGTGCTGGAGAATTACAGCCGCCGTCAACTCCAGCTAACCAAATTAGCACTTGTTATGCAACCTGCTACACTTGGCTCCCAGGTCTGCTGCTCCAACCCTGCACAGCTTTCATTACAGTTTTCCCATAGGGAGGTCCTGCAGACTGCTGCAAAGCTGACTGTACATATGTTGTTTTTCCCCTAATTAAAGCAATTTAATGTTTGTGTCTTATTTGCAACATTAGTTTAATATCATGGTGCCCGTGCAGAGATTTTGTCAACTCAAACTTTCTACGAGGAAAACGACAACACGACCGCCCTGAGACTCAGAATTCAAACCAGGAAAGGGAGGTTTCTAATATAAGTTTTCACATCACATCCACATGCTGGCATACAGCGATCCCCTTTGTTGAACTATGACTTGTAAAGTTCATATGATCGGTCCATAGAAAATGCTGTTTTGTACTCGTCCACACCAGGGTTGCAGTTATAATCTCAGCTCGTTGCTATAAAAAGTGTGCGTCACGTCACGATTGACAGCTGAGGTCTGCTTGCGATTTAGTCGACCGAGCGTATGGGCGGGATCTCGATAACACGGTGCCAACCACGGTCACCACTGACTCTGGCTCCGAATGGCGAACTATGACAGCGGTTGTATCTGGGATATTTTGGCTGAAGGCAGAAAGAACTAAGGCTCCATCCAGATGTGTAATCCCACTATGACTGCTGGTTGAAGACAAGATGGGGTCGGTGTTTTTTTTAGGGCAATGGCTACAAACTGTAGACCAGACTGGGAACTGTGGTTTTATTATTATCTACAAATTCAAGGTTAAAGGTTCAAATAATGCTTTTAGTGATAATTTTGTAATCATTTTTCATACATTTTTTTCAGTTACCCCGTATATGTTATATACTGGAGTTGTCTTGCCTATAAGCATTTCTTGAGTTCTGTATTATATTCTGTAAAGTGAAACTCTCACTTGTTGATACGTCTCTGCCTGAGAGTACTGATGAGAAATCCCCAGCACACTTGATCAAAGAGTTTCAGATTTATCTAAAGTGACTGTGCACACCTTTCAAGGTGCAGCTACATCTCAGCGGCATCACCTTGTCTACTATGTGAGCAGTGATATCGGTGCTGGTTTTGAAGTGTCAGAGCTCCTCTCCTCCTCTGACTGGCCTTGAAGAAACAAAAGACTTTGGTAGGATGAAATGAAAAACCTCTGCGCTTTGTTTGGCGCCTCTTATGTGCGTTACATTTTGACTGGAGATCAACAAATACCTTTGTCTGAAAGGCACAAAAGCCTCTAAGCAAATCATCGCAAACCCCACAGACCGCTGGAATATGTGGCAGCTGTTTCAGCAATGTTAAGTGAAGACTAAAAGTATCTGCACTGCAGTGAAGTTCATATAACTCAAAAGAAAATTGAAGCTGATTACATCATTAACAAGTTAAAAACATTCTTGATCAAGTAGCTTTACTAATTTTAAGTGACAGTGACTTAATTTAGTACAATTTTATTTGTTCTGTAAAAACAAAACACCTTGTAAAAAGTTATTAATCAGGAATGTTTCTGTAACTTAAAAAAATAAGTTCTGTAAGTGCATTGTCCCATTTAAATAAATAAACTTAAAACTTAAGTTAGTGCCACTTAAACTTGCAAGTAAAAGCAGCTTAATCAAGATTTTATTAACCTAAAAAAACAGTTTGTGTTCCTTAAAACATTTTTTTTAAGAGTTAAATGAACGTATCTTGTTTTACAGTGTACTACCATATACTGTATATTGTAAGCACACCCTCTAGATTCATTTTGCTGAGTGAATATTACAATAATTATGGTGTTCAGGCACTACAGGAGGCTTTCAGAAGAGTGTGTGTGTGTGTGTGGTGCTGGTTAATTAGAGCACTTGGTCTCAGGAGGATCAGACCTGGAAGACGACTGTCTCTGCTACGTGACAGAAAGCCAGGTGGCAGTGTGTGTGTGTGTGTGTGTGTGTGTGTGTGTGTGTGTGTGTGTGTGAGTGTAAGTGTATGTGATAAGTTGGTGGCAGTGAGAGAAGATCCAGACATAAACAAACACAGCTGATAAAGCACAGACCCACACATACACACCTTGGTGAATACCGGTGAAATGTAATGGTGGACCAGCAGAGTGGGGACCAAACATGTGACTCCTATATTGCAATTAAATTAACATGTGGGACGAATTCCTAAATACAAAATAGCACCTAGGTAGGGAGCTATAGGTTTGAAAGCAGGTTAGCAGGTGTGTATGGGAGCTGTTGCTTTATGTGAATCCAAGCTGACTAAGAAATCAGGTTTGTTGGGTCAAACCTGAATAGTGGACACAGCCAGTGCTCTCCAACGTCATCACTACAGCAAATGTTTACATTCATATTTACCTGCTCAGTGAGCATTGTTTTGTCACAAGACACCGCATCTAGTGTAAAGTTTTCACACGGTTTCCATTATTTAGCCACTATTTGTGTGATTTAACATGAGTCTGATTCAAATCACTCTGAGTTATTCAGACTTTGGTTTTATTTTTAAAGCAGGACATACAAAGTGATTTGATGGTGAGGGTTTTAAAAAAGGAGCATATGTGTTCCTTTAGCTTGCTGAGGATAAGACCTGGTAGAAAACCAGCTACAGAGAACTGCACAGTCAAGCCTCTGCCCTTCCTCCTCCTCCTCCTCCTCCTCCTCCTGCTGCTGCTGCTGTTGTCATTGGTCAGGGCATTATTTGAGCCCTCACGTGGTTCAGTGAATTCAAGCCACTAAGAATCCCTCACTGGGCAAACTGCCAATCTCATGTTAAGATCTGGGTCTTAAATACATTCCTGCACTCTTGCTGCAGCACTATAGGGTAGTTTTTGGCACTGAAGCGGTATTGAAGCGTACTGATATTCATCCCCGGTACATTAAAGCTGAGCTGACGGCATTATAACGAAGCAGTACCGAAATACTAAACTCCAATAGCCGTGCACAGGGTTTGTTTTATGTTAATGAACTGTGTTGCAATCCTTTTCAAAGTTCACTTCAGGGTGCAGGAAGGAGCAAATAAGCTTTAAAACAAAATCATGGGTCCAGTCCTCAAAGATAACACATCCAGAGGAGACCGTTGGCACCTGTCACGTAGGCAAACTTACAGGTTCTCTACAGTAACATACCAGCACAACAGCAAACAGGGACGAATTCCTGAACCTACACTGGCAAAAGGCCGAGCCGGCTGTCAGACAGTAACGGTGCACCGCAGCTCGCCCCCTGCTTTTAAAGTCCAAATCATACAAAAGAGAGAGGCACAAAGTGGTCGATGTGCCTCGGGGAAAAAGCTAAAACATCAGTGTGATATTTCAGAGCAGAAAAATATGGAAGACATCTGGTGGACGCCCAGCGGTGCAAACAGTGTGCATGTTTTGGTTCGCATTGGCAAGTGAGAGTGTGCACATTATTAACCAGCTGCCACACAGAATGTAAAGCACACTGAAAGAGGAATATATAAGTTAACAGTGTCCTCGGGTCGTGCGTCTTCAAACACAGACAGTCTACAGTTTATGTGTTGATACAGAGAGAACTTTGTCTGTGGACAATCTGATCTGATAAGTCGATTAAAAGATGACTTCTATGTTTGATTTGCATTCTGTTTTACAAAATAAAAGGCCCCCAGGCTGCGTCTTTATTGTTTATGTCAACAATTGTTGTCTCTGTCATGTATTTTTCCCCCAGCGTACATTATTTTAAATAACTGCCAATATCCATTTTATCACTGCAAGTTTACTACTTCCACCTGAAACTCTCCTTTATATATCTCTCTCTATATATATATATATACACATTATATATATGATTACATCACTGCCCAGGGGGCTGATCGATAAACTGTGTCAGACTCACAAGAATGAACACGAACAAGACCGGACGTTGGTCTTCAAAATAAAAGCAATCGATAGACTAGAAATCCCACAAATCTACTTTTCTTTATTTTTCAGCTTTATCGTAAGTTAATCTGTATGTACATGTACTTTACACTTGCTTTGGCAATGTAAACGTGAATGTTTCCCATGCCAATAAAGTAGTGCTGCGCAATTAAAATTGAAAATTCAATTCAATTTCAAGTGCAATATGCAAACTGTAAAAGTGTGGAACAAAACAGCATTAATAATAAAACCCCCAAAACTTTTCCCATCATCACCATTTTTCAAACTATGATGCAATAAAATGATAATTCCCACACCGATCGTGAATTATATCGCAATGTTTATTAAAACAATAATGTGTTTACCATGTTGTGAAGCCCTATAACAACGGTTACGACTCTTTACCTTTAAATAATGTAACATAACCCACAACTTAATGTGAAAAAAAAAAAGAAGTTTTATTTTGAAACAACCACACGGGTACACTTGTTTTCCACTTGACGCCCGAGCTGATTGAGGAAGTCGGCGCAATATCAACCGGGAATAAGTCACATTTTACACTATAAAACCAATAAACGTCGCCTTAAACACCTTTAAAAAAAAAAAACACCTATAAATGAAACATTGGTTGTGGTTCACATCTCTCTCTCTCTCTCTCTCTCTCTCTCTCTCCGACCACAGCAACGAAACTAACGTCGGCTGTCACACACGCACTTTGTGTCGCTGCTGTTGATCAAGGAAGGGCTTTTTTTTTTTTTTTTTTTGAAAACAGCTAACTGTTAAAGTTAAACAGCAAAGTCCTGTTTGGGGTGGGGGGGGGAGGGGGGGGGTTGTTTGTGCAGTTATCCCACACACACTGTTTGAACACGTTAAACAAACACCAGCAAAAAAAAAAAAAAAAAGACCTGACAGCGGATGTATTTCTGGCCACATAACCGTCACAAAGTAGCTTTTTATGTGTGTGTGTGTGTGTGTGTGTGTGTGTGTGTGTGTGTGTGTGTGTGTGTGTGTATCCGTCTGCCTTGGCGACAATTACGCGTACAAACCCCGGTTCGGGTATCGATAAGCTTTGAGTTAATCAATTTCTACCGATAAGTCCGCATGTGTGCGCCCGTTAACAGTTCATGTAAGAGGCTAAAAACCCCGCGGACACACACACACACACACACACACACACACATATAAACCTGCACGATACACACACCGGTCGGTTCTAACGTTATTTCCCGGACTAGTTAACCCTTTAATATGATTTCATACCGGCGCGTAAAGGTATCATAACGGTAATGTCAGCGCGTAAAAGTGCCACAACCTCGGTGTTACAACACTTAGAGGAGTGTTGTTGTTGTTGTTGTTGTTATTATTATGTTTGTGGGGTGGGATTGAAGGAGTAAGAGGAGGGAGAGAGAGAGAGGAGGAGGAGGAGGAGGAGGATGAGGAGGAGGAGGGGGTCAAGAGAATGACAGGAAACTTACCTGAGAGTTGAGGAGCCGCCCGGGGTGCGTGCTGTGCGTGCTGTGCGGGAGGTTGTCGGTGAGGTTGTCGGTCAGCAGCGGGACGGAGCGGCAGTGGCGTCCAGGGCCGGCGCCGCCATGTTTCCTCTGGCTCAGAGGCTCCTCGGCTGTTTATCTTTTAGCAGTAGACCCCCCTCTTCCTCCTCCTCCTCCCTCCCTCCCTCCCTCCCTCACCACCACCACTCATCTCATTACCACACTGCTGTCTCTCTCCTCTCTCTCTCTCTCTCTCTCCACACTCAAACACACTCTTTAACTAATGCATAATAATAAAATATAAACTAATGTGTAATACTTTTAAATTAATATGATTTTGATTATTTAATCCAATTATTTCTCTGTATTTTAGATTTATTTCCCCCCTTTTTGAGTAATGTTGTGTGGCTGTCTTGGATTGTCGATCTTTGTTTAATTAAATAAATAGTAATACATTTGACACTGAATTACTATAAAGATGCATTATTATGTGTGATTTGGTAGCGATGAGCGAGTACAACATTATCTGTTATCTGTTTAACCAACTAAATTATCTTTATTTGTATCTGCACTTGGAATGGGCGGGACTTAACCCCAAAAGTGGGTGGTGCTTAGCTCCAAAATGGGCGTGGCTAACCAGAGATAGCTAAATGAACGTTGTCCAGTGTGTAACATTTAGGAGGATCTATAGGCAGAAATGGAGTATAATTATAAAAAATAACGCATTACACTGGTCCTCGAAGCCTGATATTGATATGGGTTGATCAGAAGTTGCTATATTTAATAATTATACGTAAGAAAAATACTTGATTTAGCTTCAGAGCAACGTGTTTGATCACAAGAGAATGATTAACGATTAAGTTTTCTTTATAAAAGTTGCTATACAAGTATTAACTAGTATGGATATTTAATAAGCAGATGAAAGGTGTGTGTAATAAGTCTTATAATCTTACAAAAACTAAAATATGAACTTAATATTCCTATGAAGACTTGTTAAAAGAATGTTAAAAGTGACCATATTGTACTTTTTAGTGTTTTTATGTCAGCACTATTTCACTTCTGTGTAATTTTCTGTGATCTTAATGTGACTTTAAAGGGATTTTAAGGAACTTTTTAGTGTGGTCCTAAGAAATTGTTGTAATATTCCTGTAAGGATTTAATGTTGCCCTGCAAGTTACTGTCTATATTATATTATCTTTTTGAAAGGAAATAGTATTTCTAATATATTTTTCTCTCAGTATATCAAGAGAAATACTGTCAATTACCAGATTCCTGGCCATATGTTAAAAGACAATATCAAATAACTCTTGATTTATAGGGTCTGAGCAAATCACTGGTGAATAATAACCTTATTACGATGTTTGGTGTATGTCATTGTTGTGACTCATCTCATATTCAACCACCAACACTCTCATATGACTGTAAGCTTCAGATATTCTAATCTGTGTTTATTCCATTTATCTCTGTAGTCTCACAGCACCACCAAACACTCGGGTTGAGTTCAGCAGAGTTTGCTTTAGACATGTGGGACTGTAGCCTAACTTCCAATGAGCAGCATGATTTCATCCACTGACGTTCTTTATTATAAGTGCCACAAAAGAGGCGTTTAGGTCGAAAAAGTCAGATACGTAAGAAAAAGCTCTTCCCACATCTTTGAAAAAAAGTCCCTCAACAGTCAAAATGCATCAGAGCTGTTAGTCAAAATGAAAACAGATAACTGAAGGGCGACCACGGGTCAAGTTCACGCTAAAGATCTGATTATTAGTCACTGGAATATTGGATCATCATAATAATTTAATGTAGAGTAAATTCAGTTGTTTGAAGTTGTTTTGAAGTGGTAAACTTCAGTTTTCATTAGTTTTATATGCACTTTACAATATGTTTTCCCTCTGTATGATTTAATAATTAGAAAAAATAAAATAACTCATGAGCAGAAACACACAACAGCACTTCAAAGTAGAATAATCTAATATTGTTTAACAATCCTTCCCAACACACGTTCACATTCTTTACATTTATTAAGTTTTAACAAATTCAAAATATTCTAAACATTTGTATACATTACTGTATTAGTGTAAATTATAATTTAGTGAGTAAATACTGCCACCTAGTGACTGACTGAAAATGTGTGCAGCATTGAAAAGACAAAAAGAGATTAAATAAAAGCTCTAATAAGGTGACAGCACTCCAAATGGTTGTCTGGATAGAAATATACACCTCATTGTGTAAAAGCATCCATCACCAGTCTCTGAGAACACACTTAACTGGAATATTTATTTTAAATTTCTTTACTAAGTGCCTCCATCCCAGATATTAACCAGGTAAACACAATTAAAGTCCAGGAAAATCCTGCTCAGTGCGCAGGTGAAAACCTTTCCTGAGATAAAGTGAACACACACCAGTGATGGGGAGGCGCCAACCACTTAACAAACAATAGTTCATTAACAGAACAAATGTTTTGTCATTCACCCTCAAGACTTCACACATAAGCAAACTCAGCGATATACAGTACAGTGTATGTTGTATATTACTATACTGCTGTATATCCTACATATGCACATGCTTGAAATCCTACGGTAGACTGCTTTGACAAAACATAAGGTCTATAAATTGAGTTTGGTGGACTACGTGTACTGTACTGTAAGCAGCTCCCACATCTTAATATCTGTCTTATATGAAGGTAAATTGTTCTTCTTGAGTTGAAAGGATGATTTACATCAGTTGACAAAGTCCTGCAAGAGGAAAAAGACAAGATTGTGGACCAAACTCCATTAATAAAATGGTTATTTCACTAATTAAATAGCTGGCTTCAACAAATCAGAAGAAAAGGAAGAGAAGCAATTTAATTCAGGCAGATGGGGGCACTGTGGCACATTGATCACGTCGTATGATGGGGCTGATTCTGGCACAGGCAAAGTTCAGCTGACCTTCAGACAAATACGACAAACAAGGGCTGCAGCACAGGCCGGCTGAGCACGGTTGTTGGTCAGGAAACATCCAAGGCAACAAGTGTGATTGTCCATTAACGTGTGTCAATCAGCAGATGTGTGGCGTTCAACCACAAACATTATGATCACTTTCTTTTGAAAAATCATCGACCACATGGATTTTCATCATCCTGCGGGCAGTTCGAGTGAAGTTCTTCTCTGCGGACATCACAGGTTACTCTTCCATTTGACGTTCTGTGAAGATTCGTTGGCTGAGGAAACAACAAAAGTTTACATTTATATTGTAGGTCAATCATATTGTAACAGTCAGCGAGTGCAAAGCCTCATTTTCTGCACAGATCTGTCTAGTTTGGTTACTGATGCTCCCAGTAAAATTCTCCCAGTATGTTTAATGCAGTGGCAGTGAGAGACAACGTACCCACGCTGATCTTGCCTTCTTTCTCCAGTTTCTTTAAGTGATGGACCAGGTTCACGTTGGCTGCTTGGTGCAGGTATTCAGGGGTGTCCTGCAAGAGAAGCCGTAAGAAGCATCAGTCATTTCTCTCCGAACAAAAACAAGCAAAACATTTGAGCATAAACGGCGTGCAGGATGCATATTTTGCATAGACGTATCCTAGCTTTAGTTTCATAATTTAGTGTTTACTAGAGGAGTTTGAAAGCATCTCCATCTGGTGAGGATGACACTGAACAAGCCCGACTATATTTTACAACCATCCAAATTTGGTTACGGAGTACTACGCGGCTAATCTTAGCAGTCCGCCTTCACTACATCCGGCAAAAAGCATCAAAGTAACAGCCGGTTTTGTCCTGACCTTGTAGACGATCTTTACGAGCTCCATTGAGGAGAAAGGCCTTCCTGCTCCATCCTGAACGGCTGCCAGGATCTGCTGCTCTCTTTGGTCTCGATGGCTGATGTAATGTCTGATCTTAGAGCCAGCATCCTGAACCACGGGTCCGTGACCTGCACAGAGAGAAGCAGCAGTTTTTCAACAAACATCTGAACAACTTTAGAGAGGTGGATGCTTGCGTTGTTTATCAGAGGCAGGGACATGATTTGCGGTTGCATCTAATCTTGATTTATTTATTAGATTCGATCGTATAAAATAAAATGACTGCAGAAGCTTCTAGTTTTGGTTTGACTGGAACGATTGACAAGATGTGCGGCTTCCCGTACAACCAGAGAGCAACAGCTGTGGGTTGAACGTTTTATTTTAAGAAGAAAAGTGTCATATAAATATTAGTCAAAGCTAATCAACATAAAATTAATTGACAATAACTTCTATTAATTGACAAACAGATTTAGGTCATTTATCAAATATTCAAATATGAAGATTTGCTTGTTTTCTTAGTTTGATATTACTGTAATTTTTAAGCAAGGCATGATGGGCATTTTTCTCAATTTTCTTACATTTTATGGAACTAAATAAAATAAAAAAAGGTTAATAATAATGTGAGTGCACTCAGTAGAGATGGTGTGGCACATACTGCCGGATACAAGCAGTGAACATTTGCAAAGTTTTGCATAACGTTTTTTTTTTTTTTTTTGCATAGTATACACTACCAGCCACTGAATGCGTAATGTGTGCACGGAAGTAGGAACATGTCTTTATGTAGCTCAATACACTCCAGATAACTATCTTGACACATTATTTACTCTCAGACAGTCGCTTCCCTGTTGCAGTAGATTTCTAAATTCCTACAACACAGACAGATCTCTCCGTTCTCATTTGTAAATTGGTGATACGCCATCTTGCAACGCTCTTTGTTGCATGGTTCAGCACCTAATAACACAACCTGTGACTGGAGAGGAGACACGTCTGTTGTCTATTGCATCCTGAATAACAGTGACTGGATTCTAACAAAAAACTGGAAGAATTCATATTAAAGGGATGGAAAATAAACCAGTTTTCCAGTGTGTGCTCACTCACCAGGGTAGATGAGGTCGGCCTCAGAGTCCAGCAGTATCTTCAGAGATTTCATGTAGTCGAAGAGGTCCTCGAACACGGCCGTGCCTTCGCCCAGGATGCAGTCGCCAGAGAAGAGCGCCTGGTCCTCCTCCAGCAGCAAGGCCATGTGGTCGTCAGTGTGGCCTGGGGTGAACAGCACTCTGGGAAATATAAAACATGGCTCGCTGCTCAAATAACTGTAACACTTATTCTCTCAAAACATCTTCAACGTATTACAACTGTTTAATTATGTGAATTTTATTCTTTAACTGTGTTTCCCGAGTGCATATCCTTTACGTTGCTTGTTGTTTTTATTTCTTGTACATCTTGTGAAAGTCCTGCCGGGTTCAAATGTAATTCAACTTGTATAAACAGTGAACTCACTTGAGTGTGGCCCCCTCCGTCTGGACAACATCTCCGTCTTTCAGGTAAGTAAAGCTTTTGTTTCCAGCTGTCTCTCTGACTTGGCTGGAGCGAGGAAGTTTGCTGACTCGGACCTCAGAACCTGCAGGAGGGAGAGCAGACTTTGAATGTTGAATTTTTGATTGTTATAAAAAAGAAACCGGCCTTTAAAGTTTCTATTTCAGATAATACCGTAGTGGCCCCACAGTATTGAACCTGTTCCACGCATACTGTCCTCACCGGTGATGTCCCTGCAGATGTCTTCCACGCCGCCCGTGTGGTCGTGATGCCAGTGTGTGACGATGATCTCCTGGATGCTGGTGTTGAACTGGCTCAGCGCCTGTTTCAGACTGCTGATGTATTCAGGTACACCCGGTTCTCCGGTGTCTATCAGCACTCGCCTGGAACATAATCACACTTTAAATACAGGACACACACTGTAGGCTTTAAAAGTCATCATCTGTATATTCATATACACCAAATCTGCTGTAGAGTTTGTGGTTTGTTGCTTTTGTTTTCCTTCTTTGTTATAACAACCGTGAAATACTCAAAAAGGAGGAAGGAAGCATTTCTTCAGTGTTGACACATTGGCCAGTGTTTGTTAAGTAGTTTGTCACACATACTCTGTTGAATAAGGTGTTTTTGTGTTGGCTGTGTGTATTTCTGTACTGTGTAGGCATACTGAGTTTATTTTTGCAACTAAGTTATGTATATATCACTTTATGACAAAATAAATCAAACTTTTACTCATGTATAACTTCCAGAGTGCCAATGCATTTTTTTTTATACCTGGTCTAATATTTTTCTATGCCGAATTAAGCAAAGGGTCCTGGTAACCTAATATACATTTGCAGTCTTGGTCTGTATGTGAAGTATTTTTTCCTGCAACCAAGAAAAAATTAAATTTAGAAAAAATTGAATGGAATTTGGCGTGACGTCCTTTTCCACGAGCTAAAAAGGGGCTTACTGAGGTTTTAACTTTCACTTTATTGCCCAATATAGTCGTTTTAAAATGGAAACTGTCAGTAAGATTCCCTTTTGCGCAGTTAAACACTAACGTTAGTGTAATGTCACCTTTCCCCAGTGCCGACCAGGTAAGTGTTGGTTCCCTGCAGGGTCATCGGTCCCGGGTTACAGCCCAAAACCCGAACCACCCTGGCAGACAGCTGCTCTATCCGGGGAATAATTGCACTCATAGCTGGAGGAGATGTAGAGCTAGCTACAGAGTAAAAGGACAAAACACAGCGAGGTTAAAGTCCAAGAAGAAACCTTCGTCCCACTGGATCAGTAACGGAAACTGCATGTGAACAGTGTTTACTTCCGGCATGTCCTAACGGAACCTTCAAAATAAAAGTCTCGTTTTAACAACAGCAGCAGTAGTAGTGGTTTTATTTTGTTTCAGTTAACAGTGTTTTCATACTGGTGCCTCTTCTATACTTTATATATATGGAAATCAGATCAGACTGGGTTACTTTAAAAATGTAATCAATACAATTACTAATTACCTGTTAGAAATATGGTTTATAACCTAATCTAAGTGTCACAACATTAAAGTAACGTATTCTTGATAACACCTGTGTTTACCCCACTATTTCATATCAAAATGACTGCTGTGAAAAAGGTCTATTGTGTTCTTTATTTATTCTTAAACTGGATCCCCATTAGCTTCCACAAAGTGGTCAGGACCTTTAAGTCTAATTATCCTTTCTGCATGTTCTAAATGACAGATGACACACCCTATGTTCATTCCCTTTGTGGAATGAAGTAAAGCCTAAAAACTTCTCACACACAGCGAGCTCCACCCTGTAAAGATATTTATTGGTTCCCTGCCCTTCATAGATCTGCAGGTTATAAGAAAGGGTGTGAACAACATTGTGTGAAATGTGTGCGCTGTAAGTGAAACAATAAGACAGTCGCTGTCGCTGAGAGGTGAAATGGCGCAGCAAGGAAATCAACTGGACCGAGCAAATTTCTGCTGTTCGATCTGTCTGGATCTACTGAAGGATCCGGTTACTATTCCCTGTGGACACAGCTACTGCATGAACTGTATTAAAAGCTTCTGGGATGAAGACAAGGAGAAGGAAATCCACAGCTGCCCTCAGTGTAGGCAGACCTTCACACCGAGACCTGTCCTGGTGAAAAACACCATGTTAGCAGTTTTAGTGGAGGAACTGAAGAAGACTGGACTCCAAGCTGCTCCTGCTGATCACTGCTATGCTGGACCTGAAGATGTGGCCTGTGATGTCTGCACTGGGAGAAAACTGAAAGCCTTCAAGTCCTGTCTGGTCTGTTTGGCCTCTTACTGTGAGAAACACCTCCAGCCTCATTATGATGCAGCTCCATTAAAGAAACACAAGCTGGTGGACCCCTCCAAGAAGCTCCAGGAGAACATCTGCTCTCGTCATAATGAGGTGATGAAGATGTTCTGCCGTACTGATCAGCAGTGTATCTGTTATCTCTGCTCTGTGGATGAACATAAAGGCCACGACACAGTCTCAGCTGCAGCAGAAAGGACTGAGAGGCAGAGAGAGCTCGAGGTGAGTCGACAAAACATCCAGCAGAGAATCCAGGACAGAGAGAAAGATGTGAAGGAGCTTCAACAGCAGGTGGAGGCTATCAATCGCTCTGCTGATAAAGCAGTGGAGGACCGTGAGAAGATCTTCACTGAGCTGATCCGTCTCATCCAGAAAAGACGCTCTGATGTGAAGCAGCAGGTCAGATCCCAGAAGGAAACTGAAGTGAGTCGAGTCAAAGAGCTTCAGGAGAAGATGGAGCAGGAGATCACTGAGCTGAAGAGGAAAGACGCTGAGATGAAGAAGCTGTCACACACAGAGGACCACACCCAGTTTCTACACAACTACCCCTCACTGTCAGCACTCAGTGAATCTACATCCAGCATCAATATCCGTCCTCTGAGGTACTTTGAGGATGTGACAGCGGCTGTGTCAGAAGTCAGAGATAAACTACAGGACATCTTGAGAGAAAAATGGACAAACATCTCACTGACAGTGACTGAAGAGGATGTTTTAACCTTGAATCCACAACCAGAACCCAAGACCAGAGCTGAATTCTTAAAATATTCACATGAACTCACACTGGATCCAAACACAGCAAACACACAGCTGTTTTTATCTGAGGGGAACAGAAAAGCAACATTGAAGAGACAAAACCAGTCTTATCTTCACCCAGACAGATTCACTGATTGGATTCAGGTCCTGAATAGAGAGAGTCTGACTGGACGTTGTTACTGGGAGGTGGAGTGGAGTGAAGGAGGAGTTTGTGTGGCAGTCGCATACAAGAATATCACCAGAGCAGGGAGATCGAATGAATGTAGATTTGGATACAATGACAAATCTTGGGCATTATATTGTGGTGAAAACCATTATAACTTTTGGTACAACAATGTCAAAACTCCAGTCTCAGGTCCTCAGTCCTCCAGAGTTGGAGTGTATCTGGATCACAGTGCAGGTATTCTGTCCTTCTACAGCATCTCTGAAACCATGACTCTCCTCCACAGAGTCCAGACCACATTCACTCAGCCTCTCTATGCTGGACTTTGGTTTTATTACATTTATGACACTGCTGAGTTCTGTAAACTCAAATAGACAGAAGTAATTTAATGGGTTTTTTTCACATTTGTTGGTGAGGGTCGATCGAATATTCAGTACTTTATTGTCTTACAACTTACTTGTTAGGAATAGGGCTCAGTGTGCTCATAACAGGACAACATAACAAACAAGACATAGTAAGAAATCACATAGGACATAAACCCCATATAAAACATGATATAATATGTATCCGTTGATGAAACATATGAACAGTATAAAATAAGAATAGAATAAGATGTAAGACATCAACAGTTTAAAATCAGAATAGAATAAAGTGTCAGATGTTTTAAAGTACAGTAAAAGTTAGTGCATTGCTTTTGAGAAGTGCTGGTGCAGAATTGTGAGCCATTTAGTAATGAGTTGATTTTGCAGTGAGTGTTTTCGAGGAAACGGGATGTTTAAATTTTAATGGTCCTGAGGGGAGAGTCGAGTCGGTGGGCTTTTTTTTTTTTACTGCACAGAAATCTGTCAATAAAACAAACATGACATAACGTAGAGAGTAGTTGTATGAGTAGTGAGTGGACTGTATGGATGAATGAGGAATGTGTATGTTAGTGTTAGAGGCAGCCAACATTATTTGATAAAGTCTTCAACGTATTTTTGAAGAAAACAGGTTAAATTCTAAATACGTTTTTGACTTAAACGTTTGTTTAATCAAACTGTAATTCAGGAAAACAGAAGAACTTATTCTGAAAACTGGAGAGACATCTCCAAAGCCTCTTATTCTAAGAGTTTACTGCCTAAAAAGTAAAGTTTCCAGAGTTTTTAATGGAGAAATCAGCTTTATTGTAAACAACTGTTAAACACACAGTATCTCTCTCAAACAGCTCCTCTAACTGGAATGAATCCAAGCTTGATAACTCCTCCCTCTTCTTCCTGCTCTCAAACACAGCGAGCTTCACTCTGTCCACATATTTCCTTGTTCCCTCCCCTTTAGATCTACAGTTTGAAGGATGGGTGTAACCAACATGTGGAGACGTGGAAGAGCCGACAGGCCCCATTCGCTGCAGAAACACATGCTGTTTAGATCAGAGATCAAACTAGTTTCATTTATAAGGAAGTGAAACTCAGACAGTCCTTGTAACAGAGAGGTGAAATGGCGCAGCAAGGAGTTCAGCTGGACACAATTTCTTGTTCGATCTGTTTGGATCTACTGAAGGATCCGGTGACTATTCCCTGTGGACACAGCTACTGCATGAACTGTATTAAAAGCTTCTGGGATGGAGAAGATGAGAAGCAAATCCACAGCTGCCCTCAGTGTAGGCAGACCTTCACACCGAGACCTGTCCTGGTGAAAAGTACCATTTTAGCAGTTTTAGTGGAGGAACTGAAGAAGACTGGACTCCAAGCTGCTCCTGCTGATCTCTGCTATGCTGGACCTGAAGATGTGTCCTGTGATGTCTGCACTGGGAGAAAACTGAAAGCTGTCAAGTCCTGTCTGGTCTGTTTGGTTTCTTACTGTGAGAAACACCTCCAGGCTCATTATGAAGTGGCTCAGTTAAAGAAACACAAGCTGGTGGACCCCTCCAAGAGGCTCCAGGAGAACATCTGCTCTCGTCATGATGAGGTGATGAAGATGTTCTGCCGTACTGATCAGCAGTGTATCTGTTATCTCTGCTCTGTGGATGAACATAAAGGCCACGACACAGTCTCAGCTGCAGCAGAAAGGACTGAGAAGCAGAGAGAGCTCGAGGTGAGTCGACAAAACATCCAGCAGAGAATCCAGGACAGAGAGAAAGATGTGAAGGAGCTTCAACAGCAGGTGGAGGCTATCAATCGCTCTGCTGATAAAGCAGTGGAGGACAGTGAGAAGATCTTCATTGAGCTGATCAGTCTCATCCAGAAAAGAAGCTCTGATGTGAAGCAGCAGGTCAGATCCCAGCAGGAAACTGAAGTGAGTCGAGTCAAAGAGCTTCAGGAGAAGATGGAGCAGGAGATCACTGAGCTGAAGAGGAAGGACGCTGAGATGAAGAAGCTGTCACACACAGAGGACCACAACCAGTTTCTACACAACTACCCCTCACTGACAGCACTCAGTGAATCTACATCCAGCATCAATATCCATCCTCTGAAGTACTTTGAGGATGTGACAGCGGATGTTTCAGAGCTCAGAGATAAACTACAGGACGTTCTGAGTGGGAAATTGACAAACGTCTCACTGACAGTGACTGAAGTGGATGTTTTACTGCCACAACCAGAGCCCAAGACCAGAGATGAATTCTTACAATATTATCATAAACTCACACTTGATCCAAATACAGCAAACATACAGCTGTTATTATCTGAGCAGAATAGAAGTGCAGCATCAGTGAAAGAAGCTCTGCTTTATTGCTATCACACAGACAGATTCTATTATAGGGCTCAAGTCCTGAGTAGACAGAGGCTGACTGGACGTTGTTACTGGGAGGTGGAGTGGAGAGGAGGAGCTTATGTAGCAGTCGCATACAGGAATATCACCAGAGGATGGTCCGAGGAAAGCAGATTTGGATTTAATGACAAGTCTTGGGCATTAAGATGTGAAAAAGCCAGGTATACTTTTTTGTACAACAATATCCAAACTCGTGTCTCAGGTCCTGAGTCCTCCAGAGTTGGAGTGTATCTGGATCACAGTGCAGGTATTCTGTCCTTCTACAGCATCTCTGAAACCATGACTCTCCTCCACAGAGTCCAGACCACATTCACTCAGCCTCTCTATGCTGGAC